TGTGAACCCTTTTGCTACGAGCACTCATTAGTCGATCGCGAAAGAGGGGTTTCTTGTACCCGGGCGTCCAGCTAGGCTGCTTCACACGCCCTGGATGGTCGCACCTCTTCAGGACGTTGATTGACCATGCCCACCCGCTGGGTGGGGCTTGTTTGCAAGTGACTTACTTTCTTGCTACAGGCTCCGTCGTGCAGTCTGGATGGTCTCGTGGGACGTTGAGCAGAAGGGCATGATCGACGTCCGTGTGCAGAAGAAGAGGTGCGACCATCCAGGGCGTGTGAAGCAGCCTAGCTGGACGCCCGGGTACAAGAAACCCCTCTTTCGCGATCGACTAATGAGTGCTCGTCACCACAGGATTTTCTTTGTACTGTACCCGGGAGTCGAAAGGTTGCCCTCGTCGTACACGCTGGATGGTCACACCTGCTCGCCACACGGACGTTCAGCAGGAGGTCATGATCGGCGTCCGTGTGCAGAACAGATGCGACCATCGAGGGTGTGTAAAGTAACCAAGCTGTGGACGGCCGGGTACCACGAAACCCAAGAGGGGTTTCTTCTACCCGGGTGTCCAAACGTTGCCCTCGTGGTACACCCTGTGGATGGTTGCACTTGCTCGCCACACGGGCTTTGAGCAGGAGGACATGGCCAACGTCCGTGTGACTCTCCTGCTCAACGTCCGTGTGTAGAACAGGTGCGATCCAGGGTGGGTGAAGCAGCCAAGCTGTGGACGGCCGGGTATCACGAAACCCAAGAGAGTTTCTTCGCACCCGGGTCCCGAAAGCTTGCCCACGTGATGCACCCTGGATGGTCGCACCTGTTCGTCACACAGACGTTGAGCAGGAGAGCATGATCAACGTCCTTGTGAAGAGGTGCGACCATCCAGACTGCACGACGCGGGCGCGCTTTGGACGGCCGGGTACCAAGAAGATAGCCGGAAAGCAAGGGGATGAATGGGGGGGCTTGTCGGTGAATGTAAACCAGCCATGCAGTCAGTGCACATGCAAGCCCGCCGTGTGTTCCTTGTGGCTTATCGTCAGGGCCTGTTGTCCACCACCTATGTAGCGTAGGCGGCGATGTGTTTGTCATGGCCACCTTCGGTAGGTGCTACACAACACCGTATAGACGAAGAATGACTGCTGCTGCTGTGTTCTCCAACTCCAAGACTGGAGATGTGTTGGAAGGTTTGGATCACTTCCTTCGCTTTTCAGGTGGACGGGAAAATATTGGATTGCACGATTTTGACGTCTCTTGTGGAACTTGCAAGTGAGAGGACTGAAAGGGTTGAGTGGTACCGGCTTTTTTCCTTCGCACGCACATCAGGGTGGGTCCTAACTGTCAAATGTGAGTTTGTAAGATTATTGCACATGTTTCGACAGTCCGCATTCTACGCCGCAAACACAACCATGTCCGGAAACATGCCGCGTGGCGATCTCGGCAGTATGCACAAATGCACACACAGCACTGCTGTTACATGGATACAGTCATGCTGCTTCCCCGCGCTGGAAAAAGAACTCTTAGGTGATGCATTCATGTCCGATGCTGATGATGACCATGTATACCCTGCAACCACTTGGACGGTGACACGTCGTTGTACGGCGGTACATAGAAGAGATGCTTGAAAAAAGACAGGGACGTGACAAATGTCTTGTGGTCCCAAACAAAAAAAACTGACTGCCAACAACGCTATTCGGTCACTTGATCATTTGTTTTCGGTTTTCGGCGGCGCGCCCGTGTCCTTTCATTGAAACCCACAACCATGGTGACACTCGGAAATCATTACCACCTTTCCGGGCCAAGGCGATTCAAGAGGTTTTACAAAGCAAGCAATAGCAGTACTTGAAGTTGTCCACTCGCACCATCCGCTCTACCGCACGCACAAGGGCTCCCCATGGAAGTGACGGGAAGAACTCTCCCCCACGTGTCGCTTCTCTCTAGTTACAATTTTGTGCCGGACAGAGAGCGGAAGAAACTCCCCATTGTGGATGCAGCGACTCTGAGCACACCAGCGGTCCAAATGTGTAAGGCCGCATAGTTGCTCAGGATTTGGCCGGCCTTGTACCGGAAACCCGGCACCTTCAATGCTGTGGTGAAGAAATACCCCATCGTCTGTGTCACCACACCCGCCTTGTTTACATGGCGACGGGCCTCGTCAAGGCGGCAAACTACAGGGACGGACCACTACTGCTGTAGCGGGTATCGCGTTCGTACCCCGTGCATTCCCACGTCTATTGTTTCGAACCGTCAGCAGGTATTCCCCAGGCGCGTTGAAAAGACAAGGATAGCAATCACCGTTGTCTTCTACCCTGGTGCCACATGCTTCGCGAACGTGGTTCTTCACGCAGAGAGAGAGAGAGGGAGAGAGAGAGAGAGACCCGCGCACGCTTAGGCCAGACGTCGTTATTACACAACCAAGACAGCGATCGAAATCACACCAACCGTTTGAATCCCGGCGATTCGTCGAGAATATCCCATGTCCGGGAATATGCACCTCCCCCCCCCTCCCGCCGAAAACCACCACCACAGGTATATGTCATGTTATGACCGGGTCATCGTCATCGAACCTCGCCATCCGTAGTCAATTATCTTGCTCGTCGTTACAATACCCCCCCGCCCACAGGGTCACAAAAACAGTGGTCAGACAAAAACGCTGAACCTACTGTGACACGGATCTTCAACAGAACCATCTTAATCATCATCACTCGTAGTTGCCCATCATGATAACGTCGTCGACCTTGAGGATCATCTTGACGACCTGCGTTGCTAGAAGGAGCTGCTGCTGCTTCCCGATCAGCGTCTCGAAGATCCCCTGCTCCTTCATGTCGCACGTGCCCACCTGGTGACGACCAAGAGAAAACGAACCAGAGCAGAACGGGGGGGGGGGGGGGGGGAAGAATCCTGGTTTCGGGTTTTCGGGGGGAAACCAATATCCGCTGGGGCAACTGGAGAAAAAAAAAAACCCTTTCCCCCAAAACAAAATGGGGGCAAAACCGTTAAAAAAAAAACCCACCAAATAAAAAAAAAAAGGGGGGGGAAGGTGGAACCCCCCCCCAACGGGGGGAAAAAACCACACCAAAAAAATTTCCCCGGGGGGGT